GGAATGGGGGGTAGGTGGAGACACATCCTCATAGAAGCAGGAGGAGGGGGGGATGAGATAGGGGGTTCCTGGGCAGGGGGCGAAATGGGGTAAAGGGATAACATCTGAAATGTAAATATAATATCCAATAAAAAAAGAAAAGAAAATTGAAAAAAAAAAGGAAAATATCTATTTTTAACTCAGGTCTTTGTAAGTCCAGGTAAGAAACCCTAGGAACCCTGCCTATGTTAGACTGAATTGGAGTGCATTCAGCTGATGAAGCTGTGTGACTTTAGCAATATCTTCAGCTTTAGTTACATCATTTTGAAAATAAGAATGGAATACTTACCACATGGGCTGTTGTAATAGTAACTCATCACTTGAAGGCAGGTAAACCAGATGTCTCAAGAGAATGCACACAGAAAGTGTGCTGTCTTCCAAGTCTCTGTGGCAAGGTCTGAGAAAGTAGTCTGTACACATGTTGATTTCCTTTCTGATTTTTTTTTTTAAAGCACAGATGTTCTTGAATTTTAGCAGAGTCACTTGGAGGTCTTGTTAAAATGTACACAAATGGGTCTGAGCCCAGATCTTTTTTGGTCATGATGTGTCCAAATAATTCCCATCACCAATAATTTTTAAGGAATGCCAATATTGCTTGAGGACCACACACTGAGAAACGCAGTTACGGGAGATTCACTTTGCAACAACAGAAAGACTTCCTTTTGGTAAAGCAAACACTTTTTGTTGCAAATGGGACAAGATCAGGTTAAACTAAGTAGATGTCTCTGTGGTATATTTCAAATAATTTATCAGAATTTACAAAGCAAAAGCATACTGATCTAGCATATCAACTTCTGTAGTAAGGAAAAAGGAAGAATAGAAATGTGGAAGAATATGACGTAGACTTGATTTTAATCTTTAAATGTAGTTAACACTCTCTCTTGTTCTTCAACTTTGGGGATCAATTTTGGCTTGTTTTATAGTTATCATTTCTATTTACAAAGCTGAGAGTGTCTTGGGAACAGTGAGATTGTAGGAGCACATGGATGGATCCAGGGTCTAGTGGTCTTTTCTACACTTCCCTCAAAGTATCAGCTGCAAGGACTTCTGAGATCACAGAGAGAAAGAAAATCTTGTCCTCTTAATGGAAAATGAAAATCCTTGTAGCATTTATGAGGCTTGGAAAGGAAGTGGCTGTTCATTTCATGATATGGAGAAGTACATGAGGCAGGCACCCAAAACTTGGAGCCTGCTTTCCATCATGTTACACACAGAGGAGGGACACAGACATGCCAGATAGTCTGTATTGGATACAGATGTCCTAAAATGAGCACGTTTACTCTGTTTAACTGCCATGGCAACACCAGCTGCTTATGAAATCATGCGAGAGAGTCGGGGGGGGGGGGGCCTACATGCTCAGACATATATTTACAGTGATTTTTACAAACCTCATTATTTCCAAAGAAGAGCTAGATGAAAGCAACCTGCTTATAAAACCAGACTCTCCAATTAGGCCTACCATCCCCCACTCCCTTAAACACCATTTCTGCAATATCTGAACTCGATGGAGGATTGAAGCAATTACCAGAGTGTCCTAGACGAGCCTACTTTGATTCAATCAAGTGTCTGCTTCAGTAGACAGACATAACTTACCCAAATGGATCCAAATGAATCATCCCCTTATCACCAATGATGGCCTCAGGCTTCTGGTTTTCAAATGAAATCTGGCTGGCCATTACTGGGACAAACTTTCTTAAAAGCACCTTAATTTTGCCTCATTTTTGGTAAAATTCTGGCTAAATATTGATTGATGAGTTAACCAAGTGAGCAAATAATAAAGATGCATGATAGCTCTGAAAATCATGTTTATTTAGACTATTTTTTGTAATTTGAGAAAAAACCAAAATAATGCATAACATTTGTGAAAATAGGTATAGTGTCTGCTTATGGCAAAGAAAGGGAGAAGAAAGATCAGTCAGAATATTGGCCAAGAGTTTCTCTTTTGCCTGGACGTGTTAACTGAGCCACTAAATGTAAGTTGGAGATTTGGTAGCATGTGCACACTCAATTCACTGAATACTAAAAATCTTCCTATCTTTGGTATATTTTCAGTACAAAGAGAGGGAGTGGTGAAGAATATTCCATAAGTACTGAAGCAAAGAAGAGATCTATATAAACATAAAGTCAGTGGATCCAGTTTGTATTAAGTAATGGTTAATTTTATGTTGCCTGGTCTGATTTATAACACATTTATAAGATGTGTTAGGAAGGCATTATTTCTGGGTGTGTCATATAAAGACTAGTATTCTCCCAGAAGAGTGAGCAAAGCTGAGAACTTGGCAGTGTGGGTGGGCATCATGTTGAGCTGGGACATCTCTGATAATGAACAAAGAGTTCCTGTTTCTTGGGTGCTGGGGTTCCGGTATTGTGCATCTACTTCTCAGACCCCTGGATTAGACTTGGATTTTTACCCTTACTTTTCTTTGGTTTTTGTGATTTCAAGTACAGGCTGAATCCTCTCACCTTTCTTTCTAATTCTCCCACTTATAGAAAGTATCTCATGAACTTCAGGGCCTCTATATGATGAAAGCAAGTTCTATAATGAATGCATCTTGCATGCCATGTATATTTTATTGTCCTGGCTAAAATTTTGTCAGTTTGATACAAGCTAAAGTTATCTTGATAAAAACACCAACAGCAACACCAAACAAAATAAAACAAAACAAACAAACAAAAAACAAAAATATCTGTCAATTAAGAAAATGTGCCCACCAGATTGACCAATGGGAAATCCTGTAGTAAATTTTCTCTATTGTTGATTGATATGGGAAGGATCTTACCAGGGATGATGACACCCTGGAAAGGTCGTCCTGCGGTATTATAGAGAATCAGGCCATGAAAATCTATTCAGTAAGCAGCACTCCTCCATAGTCTCTGCATCAGCTCCTGCCTCCAAGGCCTGGCCTGTTTGATTTCCTGCCCTCCCCACCCTCAGTGATGGGCTGTGATCCGGATATGTAAGATGAAATAAGCCCTTTCCCCCCCCAAGGTGCTTTTGGTAGTGACATTTTATCACAGCAATGGAAACCTGAGCTAACATATCTGGTTATTCTGTCTCTCAGTAAAACATTGACAGATTCTCGCAAACAGCTCTGCTGTGGAGAAGTTCCTCCTAGCTAAGTAATCTCACTCACCTAACCTCCCAGCCTGGAACTCTTGAACAACCAGGTCAGAGAAGAAGTCAAGCAACACTTTTCTTAACATACCAGTGTTATCTTCACTACATTTCATCACTTTGCATTTCCTGAGTTCCTAGAAGTTTGAGACTTTCCAAGAGTTGAGTACAGTTTCTCCCTAGCTTGCAGTTCCCAGTGTTTGGAGTAATAAAGAGCACAGAGAAACTCAAAAGATGTTGATAAAACAAATAAGAAAAAAAAAACAGAAGTTTAAGTGAGGGATGTTCATGTCCTTGTAAACACTCCTTATTTGTAGCTATCACAGGTTTTTATAAAAAAGCCAGGCCCTATTCAGTAGAAGAGTGACAACAAAGGAGATTGATTAAGAAATGAGCTAAAAAAATAAAATTATTTTTTTGGGAAACCTCAAGTTTTCCCCTTAATATATGCAATTGATTGGATAAAGATAACCTATGTTACAGAAGGTCATCTGACTTATGTAAAGACAACAAACTGTTAATAGTAATCAGACCCATAATATGTCTTTAAAGCTATAGTACATATAGACTAATATGTGACCAAAAGAATCGATACTTTGACACAATGGCCATCATAGAAGGCTTAATAAACTTCTATTTACATAAGCATAGGTAGAGTAGAGGAAATAAAAATTGGTAGTAGTAGAGGGTTAAAAAATGTAAGAAAGGTTAAGGGAACAGTGAGCAGATTCTAGGGTCTGGGTAGAACTGAGTAGATGTGGGACACAAAGGAAGCTATGACCTTGAACCTGAAGAACAGAAGCTCTGAGAAAGGATCCAGAAGAAGCAGCATCCTACTCCTACTCTCTAAGTAGAGATTTCTTTGATCTTAGCCTAAGGAAAACCAAGAGCAATAGAATTCCTGAGAGATAGGGCATGAGAGATAGGGCATAATAGCACCTGTTTTTTTTTTTTAATTTTATGTATGTGAGTACACTGTCTCTCTTCAGACACACCAGAAGAGGCATCAGATCCCATTACAGATGGCTGTGAGCCACCATGTGGTTGCTGGGAATTGAACTCAGGACCATTGGAAAAACAGCCAGTGTTCCCACCCACTGAGCCATCTTTCCAGCCCCAATGGCACCTGTCTGTAATTCCAGCATTTAGGAGACAGAGATAGGCAGATCTTTGTGAATTTCAGGCCAGTCTGGTCAAAATAATGGGTTCCAGGCTATTCAGGATTACACAGTGAGACTTGTTTCAAAAATTAACAATAAAACTAAAATTAGTAATTAGAGAGATGGTTTAGTGGTTAAGAGTACTTTTTGCTCTTGCAGAGGACTTGGGTTTGGTTCCCAGCACCTATGTTGGAAGGTTCACAAACATCCCTGAATCCCTCTTCTGAACTTTACCTGCACCAGACACACATGAGGTTCATATACATACATGTAGGAAAGCATTCAGATAAGATAAATAAATCTTATAAATTAGGAATCTTGGGAATTTCACACGAAGAATGGAAGCAATCATCAAGGCCTTCACCAACAATCTAGTTATGATGCGCAAATGTTTTAAGTTGTGATTAAATACATTTAAGCACCATCCTAAACTCTCAGAGAAACAGCAAAGTTTCTTTAAAAAATTATTCACTATTATAGTTGTAGAGACTGTGATTTTAACAGAAAATACAAAGTAGATGGAATGACAGAGAAGACAAAAACAGAACACAATGGTGTGAATAAGAAATGAATGGAGGTCCGCAGGCCTCCGTGTGCTCTTCCGGCCACTCATACCCCTAGTCCCTGGGTCTTTGGAACCTGAATTCCGTGAACAGTCGGACCAGAAGGAGGGCTACGCCGCTAGGATGAAGCTCATGAGATTTTTGATGAAATTGAGTCCTGAAACTGTAACCATTGAATTGAAGAATGGAACACAAGTCCATGGAACAATCACAGGTGTAGATGTTAGCATGAATACGCACCTTAAAACTGTGAAGATGACCCTGAAGAACAGAGAACCTGAGCAGTTGGAAACATTGAGCATTCGAGGCAATAATATTCGATATTTTATTCTACCAGACAGCTTACCTCTAGATATACTACTTGTGGATGTTGAGCCTAAGGTGAAATCTAAGAAAAGAGAAGCTGTTGCAGGAAGATGCCGAGGCCGGGGTAGAGGAAGAGGACGTGGTTGCGGCAGAGGAAGAAGGGGTCCTAGGCGATAATGTCTCTCAAGACTACTGTTGAAAGTGATAAGGAATTTGGCGATATTTTTTGTACATGTTTTGTTTGTCAGTTTTTAATAAACGTAAGTGTAGGGACAGAGTTGTCTGCTTATCACATTAAAGTTTTAGTGTCTACGGTAAAAAAAAAAAAGAAATGAATGGAATAGGTAATCAGTCAGAAGAGGTTATCAGTATAATCAGTAAACAAAAAAGTCTCAACTTTCTGCTGGAGGAAATTAATGACAGAATTGTTCAAGTGCAAGTATGAAGTGCTGTGAAGGGGGAACCTGGAAGGAACTCCCTCAAAGAAGCCATAATCAAAGCTCGTGCTTGAAATACTTCTGTGTTTATAACTCGGATGAACTTGAGTATTAAAAGGTGAGGTACAAATCTAAAAAGGTTACTCTATTCTGGGAAAAAATCAAGACAAAATACACTCATTCTCTGCCAGAAGCTTTGAGTTTCAAAGACAAAGAAAAATTTATAACCCTCTAGGATATGTTGAGTAAAAATTGTCCTTGGCAACTGTGAATAATTTTCTCCTCTGTAACAAGTGCATGAGGACCTTGGCTTCACATAAAGGTAGAAATATGCAGTTTACAAGGTCAAGTTTTCAAGGATACAGCCGCGAAATCCACCTGCTCAGAAAATTATACTTTCACTTGGATTAGCATGAATTGGATCAGAGATTAGTCAAACTTTACATCTGAGTTAAAGTTCGCCTATAATGCTGTCAATAAAGTGCCTCAGCATACCTGTATGACTCATTTGATCCCATTCTCTATAGCCCACTTATCAAGAGGTTAAAGGCAATGTGATCTGGTACCTCAAACTCATGTTCCATGCCTTCCCTCCCATAATGGACTGTGACTCTCCATCTGTGAGCCAAAACAAAAACAAACAAAAAAAACCCTTCCTGTCTCATGCTGCTTATTTGTTCATAGTGATTAAAAAGTTAACTAGTACAAAGGTAACAGGCATGAGACTAGTGTTGTCAAAACTTGACCATGTCATTTGTAGGCTTTTGGAACTGGCTTGTCAGAGGAATAAAGAAGAGCTAGGAAGTATGGCATAGAACCGTGCAAGAATACAATAGATAAATACAGATAAATATAGATATATTAGATAGATAGATAGATAGATAGATAGATAGATAGATAGATAGATAGAAGATCCTTTTCCTGAAAACCTGCCTGAGTTTGGATTCTAAAAAAGAATTGTCCTAAGTTGCTCAGTGTAGGAAACTCAGGATAGGGGGACATTCCGACTCTAACCTGGTTATTATTTATTCTTCTTCTTCTTATTATTATTATTATTACTGTAAGTCAATGAGAGTGAGAGAGGGTAGAAATACACTTTAATATGTACAGTTTGGTAGAGAAAGGAATGTGGAAATATTCAAAGTTGCAGATAAGGTAGATATAAATATAAAGGAAACAGCTGCAGTTTAAACAGAGTTCAGGAAATTAAAACAAACCTCTCCCTCTGCACTGGGACAGTAGGTAAGATTTCCCTGAAGCACCAGATTCTTTCAAAGGAGAGCACACGAACTAAGTGGGGACATTGCTTACTCTAAAACTTATTCTAACTATACAACAATGCTCTCAACCTTCCTAAAGCTGAATCCGACTCCATATACTGTGGTGACCCACAATGATAAAAGCAACTGGTGGCTATTTTATAACTGTAATTCTGCTATTATTATGGATCATAATTTAAACATCTGATATGCAAGGTTCAAAGGGGTTGCAACCTACAGGTTGAGAATTGCTTCTCTAAAACAACAGCCTAGGGATGCATCTTCTCAGGTTTAGTCACCAAGCCACACAGAGTTTGTTGCAGCTGTTTGAGGAGACCAGGATACATCTGTCCAGAGAATATGATAGCATCATTCAAATGCTGGTTTACAGGCATGCAAAATGTGAGTTGTGGGGTTGTGGAGGCTTACAACAAGCTAGAAAGTCACTCAGAGGAGGCATAGTCAGATACCCTTTAAGGTTATACTGAAAATTCATGTTGAATACATGGATGTGTAGATTTAGTTATAATAAAGACCAGAAGAATTTTGAGATGCCAGGGCCATGGTATATCCACCAAGAAAAGCTACCAGCACAATGAGGAACCCACTCATGAAGGAGACTTTATACTCTGTAGATGTTAGACCTAGACAGATGAATCTACTTAAGGTAATTTGATCCCAGAGCAGTTCTTAATAAGATCTAGGTTTCACATGTCAAGCTACAGGGTTTGATATTTTCCATGTTAAGTTTCACTATTACTCTGGTTTGATCTGACTGTGGAAATAATTTAGAATTCCCTAGGGAACAAACTTCTAGACATATCTCTGAAGGATGTCTCAGAATAGGTTAACTGAAGTTGGAATACCCACTCTGATTACGAATGGCATTACTGCATGGGCTGGGGTCCCAGACTCCATAAAAAAAAATGACAAAACAGGGTTCCACAGCATTCAGTTTTTCTGCTTCCTGATAGTGAATGTGAGAGGTCAACCAAATGCTCCTGCCATTAAGTCTTCCCCATCAGGATAGACCATAACCTCAAGCTATGGGCCAAATCAAACCTTCCTTCTCTAAGGTGTTTTGTTATGTATTTTAACACAGCAACCAAGAAATAAAATAATGTCTGTGTCCTCGCCCAAGGTTCCTGGATTGGAAATGTCCTTCTGTAATACTTAAGAAATTGTCTGAGGTTCAATAAATGTTCTCAGTGTAGACTTCTGAACAATGTCAGAACTTTTCCAACTTTGGAGAACGGGAGAAATTGATTATATCATTTCACATTATAAGACTAATGTAAAACTTACAGACCCTGGTGAAATGTTACAATTTAAAAGTGCTATATTTGGGTAGAAAGTGCAAGAATGAAGTTGGCAAGTATCAAGCTGGCAAGAAATGGGCTTGAGATAATTACTTTTCAATGTCTGGACCCATCTCTGAGGTATATTTGGGAAGATGCTCCCGTGGAGGTTTGGCTTAAGAAGGAAAATCCGCAATGAGTGTCGATGGTAGTATCTCATAGGCTAGCATACTAAACTAAATATAAAGGGGTAGTGGATACATCAGAGTGTGTGCATACTCTCTGCTTCCTTACATCACACACAATGTGACCAGCTGACTCATGCACTCATTGTCTTGCCTTCTCTGCTATAATTGATGATTCACTTCAAACCATGAGCAAAAAATAAATGTTTCCTCCCTCAAGTTGCTTATTCTCAGGTATTTGGTCACAGCAAAAAGAAATATACCTAATGTATCAAGTATGTCTACCCTCGAGTATGTAAGAGATTGAATCAACAAAGAACTAGAAATTTGTTTCTTTTATTTCTAAAAGCAAAGATATATTCATAGTGTAATGTCAGGCTGCATCTCAAGTTATTTGAATAACAATTTTTCTTCTCTTAAAATATAATATTAAGATCACAGTGTTTATTAACTAAAAACAATGGTTCACAGAGGTTAATATTGTATCTCAGTAAGTTACAATTTTTCATATGGGATCATAAATGTATTCTGTTGTTCAAGATTAATTTATTGTATATTACATCATTTGAACTATTTTTCTTTAAAATCATGGAAATATATTTTACTAAACCATATGAATTATTAAGAGCTACATATTCTTAATGCTTAGAGATTTATTTCATAAGTATTTCTACTTTTTATAATATTCTATAATGAGCACACAATTTTTATTTACTTCATTTTATTTGCACATGTACATCTCAGATCATAATAAAATCTAATTTAAAAATCAAGCATATAGACTATGTTACACAATTTCAACACAACCACATAAAAATTCACAATAAAACATGGAAAACATGCACCAACAAGTTAGTAGTCGTTATTAGATGGGGAAACAGGTATCGCCTTCATTACTGCAATGTTTTAGACATGTTGACAATAACTGTGTTTTAAATTTATAAGGCCATATAAGAAGAAAATTTGGAAGCAATTTAACAATGATGTGCCTGTGCTTTACACTGAGAAGTAGATGAAAGAGTAGTCCACATGTTTCACTGAGGAGTTTTATGACCCAATAATAATAAAAGTCATACTTGTAATAGCAACAGTTACAAGAGGTAATTTTTAGGTGAAGGATATTATGTGTTCAAAACTGTCTGAAGTTTTATAGTCTTACTCTTATATTTTACTTTGGAAAAACAACCTCATGAGATGAGGTGTATTAAGATGATGACAACATCTTACATACAAGAATCAAGGTTAAAAGGAAGTATTTGAGAATAAATAACTTGTCTGTCAGCTAGTGAAAGGGTAGATCATTGTTAAGGATAAATTTTCTGGTTCCAAACTAAGCAGAAACAGGTGGAAACAGGAAAAAAAAACCATCACCAGCAGCAGCACCAGACAATGCTTATTCATATCTAATTTAGAACCTATATGGTCCATCCTGCAGTACAGACGTACCCAAATCATGAACACCATCTGTTAATACTTTTAAATGACATTATGCCTGCTCACTCACTCCCTGTGTAATTGACCCTAGCCAGCTCCTTCCCTATCAGTATTGGTGTAAAAGTCTCTAAAGAACATGTGGAATATAGACACAAAGCGAGAAACAGAAGAAGAATAGGAGAGAGAGAAAGAGAGAGAGAGAGAGAGAGAGAGAGAGAGAGAGAGAGAGAGAGAGAGGATGGTGGTGGTGGTAGTGATGATGGTCATCATGATGATGATGATGGCAATGACAATGTGACAATGACAACTAGGACAATGACTACATGGTTCAGAGAAAGAGATGGAGATGGAGAGAAATGGAGAGAGTGATAAAGAGGGGAAAGGGAAGGGCAGAAAATGACAGAAAAGGGGAGAGGGGAAGAGGGTGAGAGAGAGCAAGAGATTGGTAGTCCACAACTTTGAGTGGGCTAATTATTCCTCATTGTGTCATCTGAGGTTCAAGGGCTTAATTTTCTCAGTGTTTCTTATCCTGGATAGTTCACATTTATTTATGACATTAGTTTT